ACCAGACATTTTTCCGGACCGATACGACTTAGGGACCTTCAAGAAAAGAGCCTACTCCTTTTTAAAAGGCCGGCAACGCAATTGCAATTCCCCTGGTGTTGCAGTGTTAATGGGCGGCGGTAATCACTTACCATCAGGTGAACCGTATGCTTGTTTGCCCCTTTCCTATAATTTTTTTAAATAAAATGAAACTTGCTCAGCAATGCTCGCTTGGCAGTCAGAACGCAACGCAGAGAACAATCAACCAATGGTCATTTTACTCTACTTATGCACGCATTTATTATGAATTTGATATGAGCCCAGCGATAAAACTATCGGAACTACATACTCGCTTCTCGCTGCTCGCCAACTCTTATCTATTTTCTAGCCCTACACACTTCACATTCGTTGCCAGTGTGTGACAAGCACCAAATATACATCACTTTAGCTTTCACTAGTTCACACCCACAAATATACAATTAAAATCAAAACTTATTTAGCACAAGACTATAGATCATCTTTAATAGCAACTTGTACAATGTATGTATGCACTCATGCCTCACGGTTGTTTCAAGCCTGTCACATAACCATTGAGCTATTATGTACTACGTACTGGAGGCGACACTGCATTCAGCTACTCTGTTCACTCAACTGCGGTGCATACACCGCACCGCACCTTAATCAGTTCTCTAGGCTCGCTAGGCGCTTGTAGAGATGTCACGTGTTGTGTTGATTTAAAAAATATCTTAATAAAAATATACCGTCGTGTGTACTTAGAAATTGCACAAATAATTCAAGAAATGTCAGTAAAAACCATGGTATTACTTTTCATCAGTTAATAAGAGACTTAATCAATAAAAATATTATAAATTAATAATAAAGCAAATTATTCCTAAGACGCCATCATGTGTCATGTAATATAGATTATGAAATTAATTTGTTCAGATGCGACATTTTTGTGGAATAGAAGGAAGAAACATATATGAGTTATCATAATTAGGCCAATTTTTTTTATTTAAATCCGCTCATTATTATTTTATATTATTTTTAGGTTTCCACGTCAAAGTCAAAGTGGAATAAATTCGTCCAATTTTAACTCTCTCGTGCCCAGTATTTATGAATGACTCTTATTCTAATTTAAATAAATAAATGAAATTTAAATTTTATATTAATAAGTTTTGTTAAACATACATTTAGTATGTTTTTTTTATATTTGACATAGATACCTTTTAAAATATTCAGATAAAATACATTAAAATGTAATTGTGATATATTATGTAATATTATATTAAATATGCAAATATACTAAATATATGACAAAATTTGAAAATTGTTCTCGATATAATTTACCTATTTAACAATACAATCTATTATTATAGTTCGGCCGTTCAGAGAATGCGTTCCTGACACCTATCAGTTAGTTACGACTAGTGATGGGCACAACATAACACTGAGTTCGTTACCGTTCCTCCAAAATGAACCGCCGCGTTATTTTTTAGATTATTTTCGTTTTAAATTGGCAGAATCATTTAAAATTTATATTTTAGTAATTTAAGTGGAAACCAAAAAAAGGTAATATTAATATAATAAAATTGTTTTATTTATTCTTGGTTACAAAGTTACAATCTGTATTTCTATGCAATAAAGTACATTGAACTGAATGTGCGTACAGAATATTAATCAGACTCCGATTCGCTTGAGGAGGTGGTGTCTTCATCATCATCTTCGCCTTCATGTATGATTATATTATTATCAATAACAGAATCAATATTGATATCTCGGTCAAAATGTTCCACAATCAGGTTTTTAGTCTTCTCAACAACCTTTGCCCAGTCATCTCTTGTGACTTCCCCGCAGGCTTCTTTTAATAGGGTCATCATCTTTTTCGTGCTGAATGGCGGGGAAGTATCGTGGTGGGCGGCGTAACCTTTTATTTGAGCCCAGATTAGCTCAATTGCGTTATATTGGCAATGATACGGTGGAATTCTTAGAACGCGATGACCGTACTCCAGAGCCAGTTCATCGATTTCGTATCGCACATTTGCCGCTTTATTTTCTTTACCTAATTTAATTAGCTCTGGTTTTGGCATCTGCATATTTGCGTCAATGCCTTCTTGGGTAGGTGGTTTCTGTATTTGAACCGAGTGATAGGAGGCATTATCCATGAATATTACAGAAGGCTCTGGTAGGCTGGGCAAAAGCACGTTCTGGAAGCACTCTTTAAATGTAGTGGCATTCATTTCCTCGTCGTAGTCATTTGTGGTTTTTGACTGAAATGCCAGTAACGCGTTCTCCACAAAGCCGTATTTTGCAGAACCTGCGTGGCATATTATCAGACGGGCCCCCTTACCCATTGGTACTTTCGACGTCGACGCTTGTGTATCATCCGTCCAAGAACGGGAAACCGTGTGATTGGCGTTTAACCATGTCTCGTCAATGAACACGACATTATCCCAGTTATCAATATTTTTTTGCTTCTCTCAAAACCTTATCCGTTTTAAAATTATGTCGTATCGTTCTAATAAAATGTTTCTTTTGTCTGTTTTTTTATACGAAAAACCAATATCTTTTAAGATTTTGGTTAAAGCAGTTTTACCCCCGCTAAACAGTCCAGCTTCTCTTAACGATTCCAAAAGCTTCTTCCTGTTGAGATATTCATTTCTGGAATAGTAACCATATATATGATTTCTGATTGCATCGGCGTCAAAGGTGTCAATATCTGTCACGGGTTTAGTTCTACGTTTCTTCTTCGGAGTACGTAAAATATTATCTTCCGTGCCAGTAGAGCCGAACTTTTCTTTATTAATATTTGTTATCGTTCGTTTGCTAACTCCAAGCGCCTGAGAGACGCGTACTTGTTCGACAGGTAACAGGGATCCGCCATTTTGCCGCTCCCGCTCAAAGTAATCTTGCAGCTTGATGATTAACTCACGGGCTTCACTTTTCAATGTTTGTCCACGTTTAGGCATTAATATGCACCAAAAGTAAAAAGAACGCAATACAAAATACAATCGAAGTCCAATTTAGCGCCGATGTCAGTTTAAAAAGCAGAAACAGTCCATTAAACGAAAGCCGGGTAATCAAATAAAAACAAATCGAAAACACTTGAAGAACGTGGTCTATGCGCACGAAACGACAACAGACGACTGTTTTAGCGTCACAAAATGGCGGCCCATAACGCCATTTGGGGTTACCATTTTCAACCTAAATATAAAAATGCTACTTTCTTTCGCACGTTCGGTTTGGTCGTAGTTTTATTTTTATATTTAATAAAAGTTATCTTATAGTCCATTATGTTCAAATTCTTAAAAAGAAAAACAAAACGTATTATTTTATAAAGTATAACTGTATAAGAACAGATTACGATACTGTTATTGCCTGTTATTGTTAGCACAGCACTATAAATATAAAGCGCTGACATAACCTTGTAATAGCGCAGTATAGATTTAGAAAAATATTGTTTACCAAGTTAATTGAAACTGAGTTTGGAACAAAATTATAACATTCATTGATTATTGATATAATAATGTTGTTTTAATGCTCATCAATTGTTACAACGGTAAACAACCAGCAAAAATATTTTTTATCGTAACTGCAACGCCATTACAAAGTTACGTCGTCAGTTCAATCGCGACGTGTCAGGAACGCATTCTCTGAACGGCCGAACTATACGTACTGATCATTCTACCTATGTTTATTCTATGATAAAAAAAACCGCGCGAACACAGAGCAGCGCACGTTTTGTTTGAAATAGCTGTTCTAGTACGTAAGTACATATTACTTCAATGCACATAACCATATTTTGACTGAAAAATCATAAAATAATTAATACCTATATATATAATAAATGTCTTGATTACTCTAAGCCTGGTGTGTTAATAATGAGGACATCCTCGAATTTTTCTGCCACCAATTCGGCACCACTTAAAAATGAGATGTAATATTTAACAGATTACATAGTGGGGCAGTTAATTTGTTAGAAAAATGTAAAGGTTAATATTTCTTTCTGTATGTACTATTAGCTTATTAGTTATATTTTATATTAGATTCAAAATAAATAGATATTAATGAAAGTAGAAAAATTACAAAAAGAAACTAAAGAGTAAACCACTGAGGCATTGTTTTGTGTATTAACATAAAACTCTCAGATAAACTTTTATTTAAGATTAACTCCTCAATTAAGTAACATTGTATAACAAAAAACTTACCTCAATGTGTACTAGCAACATTTGATGAGCAGAAGCTCTCAATGCATATTATTATGCATTAGTGCCATGATAAGAACCACTTGTTATTCGTTTTCTTTATAATTTGTGTAAGTCACTCACTACTAATTATCCAATTTTTTTAAACTATGGGAGATTAAAATTATAATATTATAGTCTCCACATTACACCATAATATATTTATCAACATCCTAGCATAGTCATGGACATACAATCCTTGTTTAAATTGATCTTTATTGTTGTACATCATGTGATAAGCAATATGAATGTAATAAATGTGAGAATGTAATAAATCTTAAAATATATAGTGAATAAACTAAATTAAATTACAATTTTGAGTGTTGTATTGACTAATGAATCTATATCATAAGATAACAAGCATGTTTAAAAAATTAAGAAAAATTTCAATGACACATTCAATTGTTTTCTGCAATTTTTCTGGCCTTACATTTATATAGTAATATTAAAAGTAAAATGGGATTAGATTACCATTACGCTTATAGATTTAATATCAAATATTTGTGTTTTGGACAAATGTGAAGTCAACAATGGCCGAGATCCAAGCCATGGATTTGCAATGCCAAGTACTCCAATGGTACAATAGATTCTATATCAAATATTTGTTTTGGACAAATGTGAAGTCAACAATGGCCGAGATCCAAGCCATGGATTTGCAATGCCAAGTACTCCAATGGTACACATTTAAAGTAATAAAAACACAACACATTAACACAAGACAACTTTATTGTTAACTTGTGCACATTTTCCACTTAACCTAGAAGAAACAGTCAAGTTCTACTTCAGAGGAATGAACCTGGAACTGTGTGTGGCACCAATACCGGGCCTACCATGCTTGACAGGTTTGTATGTAACGGAGAACTCACCAAGGTAGTGGCCGATCATCTCAGGCTTGATTTCAACCTGAAATTGAGAAAAAGAAAGTTAGCTGACGAAGAGTGTGCTCAAAACGAATGCATATGAAATGAAAAGAAAAATTTTGTTATTTTTAACATCAACATAATTTTAAATCTGTTACTAGTTGTTTCATAATGAATTCTTCTACCTGGAGAAGAAACAGTGAAAAAAAACTGCTGATTATATCAGTCATTCATTTGTGTAGTTTCATCACAATGGGTTCTGCCATTTCAAAGATTAGCCCAGACAAACAATATTCAAACATTTTTAAAATGGTTATAAATGTCTTTATAAACATCTATGGAACAGAAATACAGCAACAAACTTGTAAAAGAAAGAAGGTGAGAATGTCATATGTATTAGTCTTGTGCCTGTTTGGTCATTTTAAAGATTGCTCTGTACTAGTTCATTTCAGACAGTGAACTAGTTCGTTCTATTAATTCTATTAACTCTGGTCATCAGTACTATTAACCTGTTCAAATTGTATCAATCTGTGTTATATGTGAATAGTTATCTGTCAGTCACTGACTATCAGAGGCATTTATAGGCTCTTGTCTATGCTAATACTTCTTATTAGTTTGTGCTCTTGTCCTTGATTGGCTACTGACCGATTCTTGAGTTATGTTTACATTTGGTATTGGCATGCAGATGTAGTTGTACGAAAAGAGCTGTTAGACTGATTAACAATCAGCATTTGGAAATGTTTCTTTTTAGTATAAAGTGCCAAAATACATTTCCTAATTGTTCATCGTTCGCGAACTACACAAGACTAATAATGAGCTCAGCTATAAGAAGTTTGTTGTTCTTATTTTAGGATCCTATGCTAGAATTACTCTGAATCATTAGCCAAATTTTGATGTTATAAAATATTAAATAATAACCTAGATATAAAAATAATATTAAAATCGGTGTTTATGTAAACTTTATGTACATCCTCTCAACTCGGGATGTCTATTTCTGAGACAATAAAATATCTCCTTTGACTGTGAGGATCTTAGAAATAGACGATTTTTTACCCACTTTTTAAATGAAGAAGAAAGCATTAATATCTATGTTTAACTCTTTTACTCTGTGTGTGTACAGGATAAAAAAGGGTATTATAAAAACCCCACAGTTTACACATTTTAGTAGGATTTTTTCTCTATATCATCAGTTGATTTTGTCTGTCCCCTGAGTCAGCCATCAGTGTGATTGATTTTTTTGATTGATTGCACTAACATTGGAGTTGTAGGGTAATTGTAAGTTGCGTTTTATGATAAAAAATTGTATTGTAACCTATAATTTTGTACATAAAATATAAATAATAGATATAAGGGAAAAATTAAACAAAATTTAACTATAGCTTTGTTTCATTGAGAAATATGACAATTTTGACTTTACTCATCATTTGCATTATTTACTGAGGGACTTTAATAAATCTATATACCATGGTAAGGGAAATTTCATAGAGAATTAAGAAATGTATACATGTTATAGTATTTGATATACCAAAATCAAGAAATTTGTGTTAAGACGGACTGCACCCAATCAGCCGTCCATTTTATTAAACAGTTCCGCACTCGGACCGCGAACGGAGAAGGGGCGTGATTCTCCGCAGCTGAAAGTATGTAGGCATAGACAAAGAGGATTAAAGAGCCATCAAATTGTGTGGTATTTCATGTTATTAAGAGTTGATTTTTGCACATTGTATTATTAAATATGTAAAACAGATAAAGGGGTTGAATACAAACAAATTGTATGGCAGGTATTTGCAGGAGTAAGGTATTGTATTTTAATAAGTTTGGTCCCTGATTACAGTACTTGCATTGAAGGGTAGTGCGTTTTCCAGAAAAAAAAAGAGATTATAACCTGAAAATGGATAAAACATGGAAAAACGAAAGCATACAAAATTTTAATAAGTGCGACAAGGATGTAAGGCAATATGAAAGACTTGTGTCGCTTACACTTCTAGGATATTTTTATTCTTCTGTGGTTTGTACTCTCATAATAACTATGTTTACAAGCAATGAAGAAATGATTATTACACAAACCTGATTGAATGTCTTTCCATTGTAAATACCAACAATAGATCCAACCATCTCAGGGACAATTATCATGTTACGCAGATGGGTCTTGACGATTTCTGGTTTCTCATTAGGAGGAGCTTCCTTCTTTGCGCGGCGCAATTTCTTAACTAGAGCCATTGGTTTTCGTTTTAAGCCACGGGCGAATCGCCTGCGAGCTCGCGCATGCATCAACTCCATGAGTTGCTCACTGAAACGAAGGTTTATGATTATTTTAATGGACTAACAGTAAAAATTTAGATCGTAAAGTATATAATCACATACTCTTCATACTTCAATATTGTAATTCAATTAATACTCAACAAGTAAAAAGTAAAGTTATAGTAATTCATAAATAAAGAAACACTCACTTGGGCATATCAAGTAGCTGATCAAGATCAACACCTCGGAAGGTAAACTTCCTGAAGGTACGTTTCTTCTTGAGTGTTTCATCGACCTGTAAAATGTTATCATTATCAATGATAAAAATTAACACACTAAAGTAACAAATACTTACGATACATCAAAACAGTGTCCTCAGAATCTAAATCAAGCACACGATTAGTCTAATAACATAAGATTAAATCATAAAATAGTAAACACAAACCTCAGCCATGTTTCAATCCGTAAACAGAACCAAATGAAAGAGATCTGTCAATCTGTCATTCGCATTTCGTGATTTAACTTGTCATTGTCAAAATAAGGGAAAAGGGAGGCAACAATACATCGATGTTTTTAAAAACCGATATATCGTTCATGAGCATAATAATTGTCTAAAAATAAAAGCATTTGTTTAATAACTTCGATGTTGAAGCCAAGTTGATGCAAGATCTAATGCGTAGCGAATGTCGAAACGCTCCAATTTCATCCGCGTAGCTCATGAGAGCTGAACAACAATTGCAAACAAATTCGGGATCTCTTTCGTTTTGGCAATACAACAATATCCATTTTGCTTCAGATGTTTAAAAAATTTTAAACGCACAATAAATATTGTTGAATGTACTGCCAAAATGAAAGGGATTGTTATTCCAAGGATGGTACAGTTAGAGTGTATGAAAAATGTCCTCATCCATAAATTAAGTATGTGTGAAGAAAACTAGTTTCTACGAATTTTATGGGAAATTTACAATATGTGAACACGTGCAGGTTCGTCCCCGTGACTACATCAGATTTGATAGACTACAAATCCTCGTTATAGAACACCTATTCCTCCCAAAGATGATTCGCGAGGCTATTGAAATAAAAATTTCCTACCTATTAGACATCCTAATTTAAATAGAAAAGACGGCTGTGTAATAAACTTAAATCCCAAAGCAAACATATAACTGAAAAACTTATTATGTACTATAAGTCCATACTGCGTAGGTGAGAATAAAAATTAATAACTTTAATTTGGAAGTTTGGTGAGGTTAACTGTGACATTGGGACGTTGAACACCTCAGTCCTCCTCGTGACCATGGATGCTGTAAAGTGCTCGAAATGTCGAAAATACAAAATAACCCGATAAAACTCGTAAAAATTAGTTTTATTTAAATGTCTAATTTTCGCGTAAATATAAGAAATCATTTAGTTTAAAAAACATTTTATTTATAAAATGTTTTTTGTTTGGCCGTGTTTGATTTTAATCAAGTGTTCTGTCCTATTTGTATAATATTAAATCAATGTTTGAAGCCTATATAACATACGATCATTTTCGATACATTGTTCTCTGTAAACGATGTTTGATCATCGATATTTGTTAAAATAGAGCCATACCATATACTCCTATTACACTACCCTGAATCAGGGTCCGTACGCCCTTAATAAGGGTGGTGTAATAAGAGTAAGGGAGTAAGGGACCCTAATTAGGGCATCAAGGTGGACCCGGTCTACAGCGCCCTTGCCACAGTGCGATGTAATATTAAAACTAAGGGCAGTTACGACATTTATTCGATGCTCGACTTGGGATAAAAACGATAGATCAATTTTTTCAAACATCCTTACATGGTTCATGAACACGGTTCCTCATGAGCGACGTTTTATGAACGATGTTTTGGCCTGCCGTCAAAAGTATAGAAATAACCAACCATTCGAAGGTATAAAATTCCATATGCTTAAAAGTTTGGAACGATGATTATCACGAATTTTATGATGCCAAAAATAAATATGTATTCGAAAATAAAAATTTCAAAGTTAGATAACGTCTAAATTTTTAAAGTTAGAAGGTCTATTTAGAAGAAATAGCTCAAGCCCGACAGGGAAATGGTCTTTCTGACAAAAAAAATATACTTAACTCCAGGAGTGCCATTGTCTTCAATCGGTAATTCCATTTTCGATGTAAAATTATAGTTTTATTGTGATAATTAATTAACACAGGTTTACAAATGGTGAAAATGGATTTAAATTTTTTTTTTCATTATCTTATTATATATTATATTGTTTGAGCTTCAATTTAATCAATAGCTTAAGTACAGCCTTATAAAGTAATAGTTATTTTTTAATGGAAATTATTTTATCGGCTTACGGTACTTAGCATTTCGTTACAATCACTTTTCTGAAATTTTGATAGATGAACAGCTTTGAGTATTAAACGAAATGAGGCGGCATCACAAGACATAACCCTCTGTAAAAGGTACGAGAGTCCGACACATGCCTTTTATATCAAGCCCCGAAAAAATGCCGAATCGCAATGTATTTACATGCAAAAAACAATCAAAACCGTCAAATCTGCAAAAGGACAACGTGCCTTTTCATCTGTATTTTTAACATAATATTAAAGTAATATTATCATTAAAACTCGTACTCTTTGGATATTTTCGTCAAATACCAAGTGTGACCATCATAGTTTATAAAGTGAAAAATAATCTATTATTAAATAAATATAATTTACTACACAAGTAAATATATTAACGAAAATGTATTTAAAAATCCATATAGATATGTAGTGGATTTAGTTAATTTATATATATATTCAGCTCAATTTAACACTATTTCGAACATTATATAATTAAATATAATCGGTAACTAGTATTTATCAAAATATTATACAAAATAAAGGTCAAATAAGTTAAATCGAAACTTGCTACCTCGCAGCCAAAGAGTGCAATTATTAAAAATAAACTGGTATCACTGTAACCGAAAGTATTGCACTATAGTGATGTACGCCACAATATAAGATATCGATAAGTAAATTAAACATGCGGGTTTGTCTGCCAAACCGGTTTGTAGTTTTTATTTAGATTTTCCAATAAGTATTACAAAAAGTAGCAAATTTTTCTATTATTGGTTTGTTTTTACAGATTTCCAAGAGATCCACTTAAGCGGGAAAATTGGATTGCAGCTTGTAGAAACCATGACTCTTGGATACAAAAACGGACTAGTACCATTCCTGCTCCGAACATTTTGAAAAATTATGTTTCATACTTGAACTTGTGGGAGGTAATGTTTGGCTGTAATTATATTTAGATAAAATATTCTTATTATTACCTTTGACACCAATATTATTCTACTTGAAAAAATATTTTAGATTTTCGATAAGTTTACAAAAGCACTAATTTGTCAAATTCAATTTATATATATATATTGTTAGAAGAGAAGGTCTGAATCAACTGAATCAAGAGCGCCGACGCCGCGCCGGTCTATATAGGAGGGCGGCTGGCGTCACTCGCCCCTTTTTGCCGACGGTCATCACGGAGTGCGGAAGCTTTGCTCGAATACTAGCCTCATTATTTTAAATCTTGTTTTAAGCTTTTAAATTAGTCAATATTTGTTAGGCCAAAGGCCATTAAAATCTTTTTAAAAAGTCAATCTGTGTTTCTATTTGTAACATCAGAGGTGGGATCAGAAGGCTGAAAAGCCGCTGTACGCCTATATTTCTGGTTTTATAAAGGAAAACTTAGTTTCCTTCAGTTGTTTATTTAATATTCGGGCTGAGTTTTTGTCTGCGCGATGCCTGTCAACAATCAACGCAACAAACAAAAACGCCGTGGTCAAACTCCTTCGCCCAATCCGATGGAGGAGATCCTGAGGAGGCTACATGTGCTGGAGGACCAGCCCCGTGCGTCAGTGGAGACGCAAGCCATTGCAACGACCAGCGCCGTCCCTAGGCGCGCCCTCGAGCTGCCAAACACGACACCATCGGCATCGGCATCGGCATCGGTGTTCGGGATGCCTACACCGCCGCGTGCGCCTGTGCCCTCGCGAGTGGGGACGACGCCGCTGACTCCGCACACTGGCAATGTGGGATCAACGCAGTCTGAAGAAGTGGTGACGAACGCCGTAGAGCGTCTTTTGACCGCTATCGGCAGTACTCAGGTCAGATCTAACCGATATTTTGTCTCTGATTTTGATCCGAATGTTCGTGACACGTGGTGTGATGAGGTAGAAAGAGCCCGTATTTCGAACTATTGGGACGACAGAGAATGCCTTGCTCGTGTCGGATATTGTTTTAAAGGAGAATCTCGCACCTGGCGCAGCCAATGGACAAGCAGTATTCGCACGTGGTCCAATTTCAAATTAGAACTAAAAGCGCTATACCCACGTTCTGTCGATATCGCGAACATGCTTTATGATGTAATGCGGACAGGGTCAGATAAATACTCCACATATGCTGAGTATGCTCGTAAATCACTTTTAAGGTTACGCATAGTTAAAGGTCTCAGTAGCGAGCTGCTTACGGCTATTATCATTCGTGGAACTGCAGATCCACGAATTCGTGCTATGGTTGCTAACGCCAAATTATCACCTAACTCTATAGTGGAGCTTTTATCGAGCTATGTTAAACCTTCTAACAGCCATAATAGGAAAGTGTATTTTAATGGTTTCAATCGATTTGACCAACCCTCTAATAATAGTAACTCGAACCGCAAACCGTTAAAACGTCCATGTGATTCCAAAGACTTAAAATCAATAAGTTGTTACGAATGTAATTAATTTAGTAATAGGAGCGTTAATTGTAACAAACGGTCGAATACACTCCCGAGTTATAGTAACGAAAAAACAATCGCGTTACCGACGATATCTCGTAGCGATCCGTTAAAGTGTGGGTTTTGCAAAAAGGTAGGTTATTCCGAGGTAACTTGTTTTGCTAAGGAACGCGCAAATTCTCGGAATAATAATGGTGTCAATTTTTGTCGCGAAATCACGGATAGTTATAAAAAACGCGACGTCACGACTGCGGTCATATCGGGAATACCATTAGACGTACTAATCGATAGTGGTTCATGTGTTTCCTTAATGTCAAAAAATGTTGTTAAGCATTTCCCGTGTCAAGTAAAGCCTACGAATCAGTTGCTACGCGGCTTGGGTGGTATGGAAATAAGATCGGAATCATTTGTAACATTACCCGTCGAGTTTAGCGATATAACAATAGAAATTTATTTTTATGTGGTGTGTGGGAATAATTTGAGTGTGCCAGTCATTATCGGTACAGACGTACTAAACAGGAAAGGTATTACATATGTTAGGACCGGTGATAGCCAACGTATAATTCATAGTGAGTTCAAGTAAATGATATTCTGCAAGTAAATTTGATTTCTTTGTCCGATCAAGTTAATACGTCGGTATCTGAAATAATAGGGAACGATTACTAGAGATCCTCACCAAGTATTCCGATTTCTTTTTAAGTGGTACCGCGAC